ATTTTGATCAGTGAACGGGCACCATATGGTACATTTTCTCAACATGAACCTATCATTTCCAGCCTATCTGAACTATTTAATAAATGGAAGCCTTAACATGGGTTACGCTCCCCCTAAGCGGGCCCTCCGCATCCTGTCTCTGTCTTATCTCAAATACAAAATGCCAATGGTATGAATGTATCTATATGTATTGGTCAGGCTTCAGAATCGTCCAGTGGGCAGTGCGCTCTACACTCCAAGTTAATTTTTTTTCAAATTTACCGCAAATTTGATATTTTACCCATTCAGTGTTGATTAGTCACAATGAAACATTGTGACAGAAGTTGAGGTTACTAGTGTATTAAATAATCTAGGTCCTATTTAGGATTATATCTGAAAATCCAAATCTGGCCAACGCCCACCTTAAACCTAAACCTGTTCTAATCCACCTGAAATGACTAACGTATGGAAGACTTTGACTACCCAGCCATGCAATAGTCTCATTCCGTGCCTTATGGCAACTTGATGATTCTATTGCGCTCATCTTCTTGCACCACCCAGGGGAGACTTGGTCCTGTACCCAATGCTTAACTTATCTCCTTTCCACTCAGCTACTCGCAATTTTTTGTGATATAGTGGGCGGAATATTATTATATGAGACAATTCAATGCAGACGTCTTTCCAAATTTGGCAGATCGACAGGTAATCGGTGAGTTACCACGATAGTTGCTATTCAACAACTCAACAACGTCCCATCGTCAACGCCTGCTATGAGAATTTTCCATTGCAGACGCCAACGAAATGACGTCATCGAGCTATCGATCAACTACCCTGGTTATCGCCTGGTACCTTATAGCACGATGCTAGGAGGCGAACCGGAAGAATCGATGAGCTACCTCCCCCGCCAAGCTGGCTAAAGTGCTGAAGATGCCGAAAACAACAGTTCGTCGAGTGCTCAAAACTTACAAGAAAACCCTGAGTGTGGAAAAGAATCAGCGGACCTACGAAAAAACTGGAACCAGGGATCGTCCACTGTGCAGCAAGGTGTTGATGTATGTTAAAGTCAACCCCTATCTTTCGATCCAAGATGTGGCCAGAAGGTACAATGCCAACTTTCAAACGGTGTGGAACATCCTTGCCAGAGAAGGATACAAGTCGTACAAAGCCAGTAAACATCCGAACCGGCACATGAAGCAGAATTCCGTGGCCAAAAAGCGTGCAAGGCTCTTGTACGACCGTGTTTTGACGAAACACAAGGGCTGCACTTTGATCGATGACGAAACATCGTCAACCTCGATTTTAAGTAGCTTCCCGGTCAAAAGTTTTACATCGCGACTGGACGTGGGAATGTGCCGGGAAGATTCAAGTTCGTGTTTGCCGACAAGTTCGCAAAGAAGGCCATGATTAAGCAAGCGATTTGCAGTTGTGTGTGTGGTGTGTGTGTATTCCTTCTAACCCCCACTGGCCGGCAGTGTTATTATGGAAGAACTATTTGCGATTTGCAGTTGTGATCTGAAAATGGAACCATTCGTCACATCCTCGACGATGACATCACAAGTTTACATCGAAGAATGCCTGAGAAAGCGTTTATTGCCGTTCATCGGCAATCATATGGGTAAAGTCATCTTTAGGCCCGATTTGACCAGCTGTCACTACTCCAAGGTGGTTGTGGAGTGGTATGCTGCCAACAATATCGATTTTGTCCCTAAGCTAATGAATCCTCCGAATTGCCCGGAATTTCGACCAATCGAAAAATACTGGGCAATTTCAAAACAGCAACTTCGAAGAAGCGGCGGGACATCCAGCAAATGCGGGAAAAATGGAAGAAATGCGCTGATTCCGTGTCCATTTCCACTGTGCGGGCGCTGATGGAGATTTCGTTCGATCTGGAGAAAAATAACCATCTAATGCTTTAACTTTGAAGTTTTAATAAAAGTACTGTAAAGCAACCATTAATGCACTTTTTAAACTTATTCAATCCCGAAATAGCAGGTCTTTTTGTGCGTACCAATTTACTTTGAGTCTGCCTTTACTCGATTAGATGAATCTTTCATCTACCTGATTTGATGTTATGCACTATCTACATTCCACAAGTCCAGTTTTTGAGAGCTTATAAATCTTACCCTCCCCCTGCATAAAGAATCCATCCAAATATAATACATTTTGTATGGACTGTTCCCCCTTAATCTGCCAGCTGCCCTAAAAACATGAAAGGTTTCCATCCTGGGTGGCTGCTTGTTTTTACTTTGACCTGGGTGGCTGCTTGTTTTTACTTTGACCTGGGCCCTGGTCCAATTCCTATCGACTAGCTTGACGTTCTTGTTGAGGCTCTTCTCTCAGCTTCACTGCCAGGACTGCTGCATCTGCTGCGATGTCTTGCCTGGTTCTAATCCAGTACTTGCATTCGTTTCCGCCCCTCCATAGTGTATCGTCGATTCACCTTCACTTATGTTTTTAGAATTCTGTTGATATCGACTTCGGTTCTGTCAGATTCAGTTCAGCTATATTATGCCATACACAGCAAAAAATAAAGAGGATGTACTTCAATCATGTCGAAAATCCCATGTATATTTTATGGCCACAAAAATAAACAAATGCAGTAAAAGAAGCGTAATGTCAGTTCATGCACTGTTTTAATGATAATTATGTGCTTTTTGGCAAGTAATATTACACCATAATTTTCGGAACCGGTGGCCATAACCCAAGTAACCAAAAGTTCTGATAAAAGGCTTTTTGTGGCTTAAGCATCTTGGTTAAAGGTGACCTATAGAATTCTAAGCAGCCTCATTTTTAAGTCGTTAGAAGAACTTGAATGTTCCGGTACCATAATTGAAGAGCATTCTATGCAGCTTCTGACTGAACTTTAAAAAAAATAAGTAAAAAAAAGGATTTTATCCTCAACACCAATTCTATATTTAGTTCGCACTTTTATGAAAGTTAATTCTAAAGTCAGGTCTTCATGAAAGTTATTTCTAAAGGCAGATATGAACGTGTATTGATTTATCAGCATTAGTACTAGTATTGGGGAACTGTTTCAAGAATTAAACCCAGTCCTTTTGCGTGAGAGCTCCAGCATGAACTGCTACGTTATCTGAAATATATTAAAGTGACTGTTGTCCCGCCTACTGTTGGAGTTTTCAGAGCCAGCTGACTGACTTGAATACGAAACACAACACCTTGATGAACTTTAAATTGGTGGATGCCCGCATGGTTTTCCAACACACTTGTGGAACAGTGGTTAGCGTTCGTACACGAAACGAAAATCAATTATTTTATTCATTTGTTTCACTAATAAATTTTTGCCAAAACATCAACCTTATATAAGACAAACCACATAGGTCCTATAAGAATGCAAAAAAAGGTATGTGAAACTGCTTATACATTTCATTTGACCAATGAGCTTCATTAACTTTTTGCAAGGTGTCTGCTAATTAGTTGACTTATACATTTTATGAATAATCAGCAATAGAAATTTGCCAAAAGGTATAAGGAGATTTCTATCCGTGTAGTTCACATGCCGAATGCACGGGTTGAATTCAGGAAATTGCTGTCTATTTTTATTTTTTAGGATAGAATATTGATCCCCTGCTTAAAAATGAGAATTATGATATATTTGAGCCACTGATCATTTCATATACATTAAATTTTGTTACTAATAAAGAATTGAGCGGATTGCTTCATGTGGGCTATGACGAACCTTTTAAGAAACTTTCAAGTTCCTAAGAAGCTCCGCAGTGAACTTTTAAGATACTTAAAAGTTGCTAAGAAGTTCCGCTGGGAACTTGTTCGGAACTTTGTTGTGGCCATGTTTTCAGCCTTGCCCAAAGTTCTTAAGAAGTGCTTAGGGATGCATTTTGGATTTTTTTTAACTTCAAGTACTTAGCACAGCTTTCTATAGCTTCTAAAGAAGCCAGAATGTTGTGTTAGAACTTTATATGCACTTATGGAACATGAAAGTGGGTTGTATCGTTGAATGCGAAACTGTTGGTGGCTTGGGAAGAAAGTTCTGTCGGAACTTTATTTGAACTTTAAGGAACTTGAAAGTTTTTTCGGAACTTTATGTGAACTTTATGGAACTTGGAAGTGAGTTTTATCGTTGAATGCGAAACTGTTGGTTACTTGGGAAGGCTCTGTTATTAATTGTTAGAGCTATTGGTCATATTTTGTCGAGTAGATGACATGTCGCTTGATATGGTTAAGATAAATAACAAATTTACCCATTTAGAACCATAGTTATGAATATCTAGAACCTGTTCCACCGTCGCCATATGGCTCTATGGTTGTTATTTGAGTGCCATTGGTCATATTTCTTCGAGTAGATGTGATTTGATATGTCCGTTGATATGATTCCAAAAGATAACGGAATTTACCATACGGATCCATAATCCAGAATATCCTGAACCGATGGCCATATAGGTCTATGGTTTTCATTTTCAGAGCCGTTAGATATATTGCGTCGAATAGATGTGATTGGATACGTCGCTTTGTATGGTTATCAGAGATATCAATCAGAGCAGCCACCCAAGATGGAAATCTTTCACGTTGGCCCTATGCACCTTTGTTTATAAACAAAGGGGTGTGCAGGATAGATAAGTAAGTAAGTAAGTAAATCACAAAAAATACATTTTCTATATAAATTTTCTTTATTTCAACCACCGATTTCAAGCTTAATCTAAAGAGATCTTACATTTTATTGGTATAATTGGGTACTTATCTTTGTCAAAAGTATATACAAATAGACAATCTATAACATCCGTCGCTGATGATTTTTGCACACAAAATAACCTTTCATAAGTTGTTCCAAGGGAAACGATAATCTCTTCGAAACCAACATTATCCATTTTGATCACAAATGCTTTTTGAACTCATGTTGAACTCTTACAAGTTGTCTTTTCATGAACGTTGATCTCCAAACAAGGAAATAAATTTTCTAATAATTTCATAACATTAGCTTTACCACTGTTGTATACACATTTATATCCTTAACTATCAAAAAGTTTTTTCCACACACGAAACAAATTTATGGCAATGTCCTTTGGATTGGTTTGGTTGCACAGGTATTCTTAATCTTAGTGTCTAAGTATAAAAAAAACCTTTCTTACAAAAAATAAACTTTCAGTTTTGGAAGATCTAGCAATTAAAGCTACATTTTCTAAGTACGGGATTCTCTTTGGCATTGGAAAATATGGTACAGAAATAGACTAAAGTAAATGAGGACAAACAAAAATCGTCACGTTAAAACATTTAAACAACGTTGTTGAAGAAATCGTACTCAAACGACGGAATCACCTTGCTGGACTGGTCCACACCAGCGCTGATTGCACCATCCTCCATGTGGTACTCCTCCAGGTAGTTTCCTTCGCTAAGGAAATTCTTCACACATTCATACGAAATGTACTCATCCTGGCAGGTTTTCCCCTCGGGACTGGAAGTGTTTTCCGTGTGCATCATCCGCATAAAGCAGCTGGACATATCGTTGAAGTTCAAGCCATTCACCGTAGGACTCGGATGCACATCATACTCCACCCGGTCGGCGACGAATTGAGTGGGAGCATCTTCGAAAACTTCGTCAAACTCGAAAGCATTTTCTCCCCCGCAAATGTCCGCCGACGGAGTTGGTGGAGGTTCGTACTGTGTCGTGTTGATTGACGATTCCGAATGCCGCCGTAGTGAGTCGATAGTTGAGCTGGACACCGATGAGCCCAGCGTCGCCGTTGAATCCTTGTGTGACTTGCGGCGTCCTTGACCCTCCGTTCGGCAGGCATGATTTTTCACGTGCTTTCGAAGGCTAGAAGGATCGGTGTACCGTTTGGAGCAGCCCGGCAGCTGGCAGGCGTAAGGTTTCTGTTGAATCGGAAATGTATATTGTTAATAAATTGGCAATCGAAAAGGGCAGCTTAGGCGAACCTACCGTATCGTAATGGGTGCGTTGGTGCTTGGCCCGATCCGAACTGTTGCTAAAAGCCTTGGTGCAACCGAAGTACTGACAGTTGTAGGGCCGTTCTCCAGTGTGTGATCGCTGGTGGATTTTCAAATTTTCTAGCCGAGAGAACGCCTTTTCGCAACCGGAGAACTGTTGGAGAGGAAAATGGGAAGAAGATACAAACGTTAGGTCATTAACTTTGCCTCTTGGCTTCTTGTTTGTGCATCTATCATACAGGACAATTTGTAACACATGCGCCGTCCAGCGAGTGAGTGAGGAGCTATGACAAATGACGGTAGGTGAACATTAGCGCATGGCTTTTCTAAACATTTTGAACTACGATGTTTGTTTTTTTTTATATAGCAGGCAACTTAAAACCGGAATAGAGGAGTAAAACACTACAGGCACGCAAAGGCATCACTCCAATGTGCGTGTGCAGCTAAGCGTAACCAGATGTTGTTAGAGGCACAGACTTATTTACTTGGCTGGCTTCAAACGACACCAAAGCGAAAAGAATCATGATTGATACCAGAACGGTAGAAGGAGCGTAATTAAGGTACGATCAGTCTGTACAAGTTTGGAATTAATATTCTCATTTCTTTATTTTATACAGATTTTTAAACTTTTATCGAACAGTTCCACAATTCAAAAACCCAGCTAAACCTTACTGGATGGATTAATATGAAGAGTTTAGAGTGAAAGAAACTCTAAGAGATCTCAGATTAACCTGGCTTAGATGTTTCACAATTAAGGAATATGAATGAATTTGGTATTGGCATGTAAATTGTGGCACATTAAACATAGTTTCATGCAAAATTTGAAATTTTATGGCAACGTTAAAAAAATCTTGAAATATGTCTTATAAGGATACACCGTATTGAATCAGTTAGACTATTGCGGGACAAATGATAAAACCTAAAAGGGCTGCGGTGGTTTCAACCGCTATGAACTACACTGAAAAATACTGAGCTTTTATTTTAAGTGTTGAATTTAAAATATTAAATTTAAACTATCAGGCGTAACATTTGGAAACGGCCTTTATACTTGTCTAAACAAACTTTAAAAGGCCCTTTACTCGCTACCTGAATTACGCCCTCACAAACCATCAAACATCATCGGGTAGAGAGAAGTTTATTTATAAAAGTTTATTGGTCGTTTTCAAATGTTATGCTAGATTTATTATTTTCATTTAACATTTATAACATTAATCATTTACTATTTAACATTTAAAAAGTTATCATTTAACTTAACTACTTCTCATATTTAACGTTTACTATTTAAAGCTTACTATTTAACCTTTACTTTTTAACATTTCGCAGTTCATATTCACATTTATCAGTGAACATTTAATATTCAACATCTAGCAATTAATATTGATCTTTTCAATATTTTGAATATAAAAAATATTAATATTATACTCTAAGTTTAAAATGTTTTAAATTTATAATTCAAAATTTAAAATGTTTAATTTTAAATTCTAATAACGGTAAGCTCCATCCCGCGTTAACTTTTAATACCGATCCAGATTGTATGATCTGCAAAATGTTTGCTTACTTCGTATTGATTAACTCTGATGTCGACATCAAAGAAGCCGGACATTGCTGATCGAAATTTAATCCGAGAATAATGCCGGTTAGAACTTACCTCCATTAAAGTTAAATGTTGAATATAAGCTGTTATATTTTCACTGTTATATGTTAAATGTTAAATGGTTAATGCAAAATGTTAAATTTAAAATTGTAATGTCAAATGTTCAAAGTTAAATGTTAACTGTTGAATGTTATATGGTAAATGATGAATGTGAACTGTATTCAGGGTTGCTCACTTGCTGTAAAAACATATTTTTCGGAATTATGCAATCATTAGATGAAATTATGATATGCTGTACTTGTAAGTACCGAGAAGAGGGCTTAAAGTATGTGTTTGACCCATAAAACCTGTCAATTTTGCTTTCAGAGCGTCACAATAAGCGATCTTATGATTCGTGAGCGTTCAATCAGAGTGAGCACTCACGAATCGTAAAATTGCTGATTGTGACGCACTGAAAGCAATATTGACAGATTGTATGTGTCAAACACATACTTCACGTCCTCATCTTGTAACTTACAAGTACTAATTATCACTATACCATCTCATGATTTCATAATTCTGAAAAACATTTTTTTATAGCAAGTGAGTGGAAGTAACCCTGACTGTATTAACTGTGAAATGGTAAATTTTGAATCTTAATTAGTAAATTTTAAATATTAAATCACAGACAACCAGATTTAACACTTACAATTTGTTCATGGAACACGCGTTTAACGGTCAATTTAAATGATTTTTAATTGGTAGTACCGCCACTTGTGACGCGCATTGGCATTTCCCTTGCGTTTGACGTTTACACACTACCGCCATCTGTTTAGTGTACTGCTCATCACAGTATACTCAACAGATGGCGATAGTGTTTTAGCGACGATGTTTTATAGTGAAAACTATTCAATGTGTTATGTCTGTTTGTCTGTGGTTAAATGTTAAAGTAAATTGCAAAAAAATCTTTAATTTAAATAACTTATTTTGCATTTTATATATAACATATTAATATTTGAAATTTTCCATTTAATAGTTAACATTTAATAGTCACAATTTAACATTTACCATTTAACGTCTAACCAACATATATCGTTTAACATTTAATATTGCACATTAAATATTGAACATTTGACATTTAACATTTACCATTTAAGGTTTAACATTTAACAGTAAAAATTTACCATCTAATTCTTAGCATTTAACATTTAACATTTAACATTTAAAGTCTGTGGACGGACTTCCTCGAAAGCATAAATACCTCACAGTCTTCGGCGGAGCTCTGGGGTAAGGTCAACGCCCTCAGTGGCAAGCGCCCCATACGGCCACACAGCATATACAGGTAGACGGCACTGCAGTCTCCGACCCCGCAATCGTTGCAGATAAGCTTGGCGACTACTTCGCTGACCTCTCTGCGATTTCCAAGTAAGAGGCGACCTTTCAACGGCTAGCACACCCATCGACTTCGTCCGTAAGCAGTTTTCGATTTTCTCCGGACACGAGCAACCTGAGGATCAACCACGATTTCACCTGGCAGGAGCTGCAGTTCGCGCTTAGTAGAAGCAACGGGAAATCAGCCGACCCAGACGAGATCGGCTACCCGGTGCTCAAGAACCTGCCTACCCCGGGTAAAGTAAAAATGTTGGAACTCTTCAACCAACTTTGGCAGACAGATTCGTATCCAGAGCATTGGAGGGAGAGCTTGGTTGTCCCCATCCCTAAATCAAACGAGCCGACACGGGACGTGGCGAAGTTTCGACCCATTGCGCTTCAACCGATGCCTGAAGCAGTTTCCCGAGTCTGACGGCCTTCTAGAACATCGCCAACACGCATTCCGGCAAGGCCACGGTACATCCACGTATTTTGCGACGCTAGGAGAGCTCCTCAAGGATGCCAAGTATAACGGTTGGTTTCCCTGGACAATGCGAAAGCCTTCAACCGTACATGGACGCCCGCGGTACTGAAGCAACTCGTCAGCTGGGGCCTTAGCGGCCATATCATGCATTTCGTTCAAAATTTCCTGACTGGCAGATCCTTCCGAGTCTCGGTAGGTAATACCAAATCCTGCACTTTCTGCGAGGAAACTGGCGTTCCCCACGGTTCAGTGATCGCGGTCACCTTGTTCCTGGTAGTCATGAACAGTGTCTTCGAGCGGTTACCAGCGAAAATCTACATTTTCGTGTACGCAGACGACGTGCTAATCGTAGCCACAGGTCAAACTCCGGGACGAACGAGGATTAGAGCCCAAGCAGGGGTTACCGCCCATTAAAGAAAACTGTGAAACTGCTTGTCATTGACCGGTCGCTGAGTGAAGTAATGAAATTGGGTTGTTTGCGGAATGCTTAAATAAAACAGCAAAAAAAGGTTATCTTCCATTTAATTCCACTTAAATAATTTTGGTATCCATGACAGATACGCATTTCAAATACAATGTGCAGTATTCATCAGGGTCATTCACACTAAAGACTTATCAAAAACCTAACCCCCTGTCATGGATACCAAAACTATTTAAGTGGAATTAAATGAAGGATATTCCTTTTTTACTGTTTTATTCGGTCGCTGAGTTTTGACCAGCACCTTCAAGGGGTCAAGGCCAGCTGTCGCAGAAGGATCAACCTCATCGGCACAATCTCCCGTCCCCACCGGTCCAACAACAGAGAAGTACGTTTCCGTGTTGCCCGGGCCATCGTAGACAGCCGGCTAATGTATGGACTCGAGCTGACCTGCATCGCCACCGACAAGGCAATACAAATACTCGCTCCGGTGTACAATAGCTACACGCGCATCTTCGCCAGTCTCCTATACCCTCGATGCCAGCCGATGCCAGCTGTGTCGAAGCCGGCACTCTCCCTTTCCGGTACCGCATCTACGCAGCCATTGCCAACAAAGCCGCTGCATTTTCAGCAATAACCGCCGGAAACGACAGAATCTGCCTCCTCAGCGAGGGGGGCAGAGTTCTGGTACGGAGATAAGAGTTGGAAATCTCCCGCACCAAACATCGATAGCCGGATAAAGGAGAAGTTCAGAGCCGGGGACAATTCCGTAGCCCTTAGGAGATCGGTAGCAGAGCTGACCGGATTGTACCCAAACTACATGCATCATTTTACGGACGGGTCAAGATCGAGAGCTGGAGTTGGAATGGGAATCGCTGGAGAAGTCTGCCAAAACAATGTTCGGTGTTCTAGGCAGAAGCAGCGGCTATTCTTCATGCCGTCACGATTCCTGCGTATCACCTAATCCAGATCCTGTCGGAATCCCACAGTGTTATTCAGACCCTTTCGTCGGAGGTCCCGGTCCACCCCTGGATCCAGGGCATCCTGAAGGTTGCGCCACCAAACACTACCTACGCATGGACTCCCGAACACTGCGGGATCCCAGGGAACATCGAGGCGGACAACCTAGCCGGGTCAGGCCCATCTGGTCCTTGGTACTCGCATAAGGTGCCGTTACAGGACGTGAAGAGATGGATCACTTGCATAGTGCGGACAGCGTGTGCAACGGAATGGTCCATCGGAAAGTGGATTGACCTTGCAAACCTGCGAGACCAGAGGATTTTTTCCATACTCCGGACAGGACACTTC